AAATATTGATAAATCACAAGACTGTTGTCGGTACAGAACTTGTTGACGAAATGAATGGGCACTTTACTAGATATAGGCACGTGCGCGGGAAAAAATGCAAGCTCAGATAATTGCATGCTGGCAGGAAATTAGATGGAATCTATCATGCATTTTCCAACGACGTCAACTCAGATTGATGTCTGAGTTGATGTCGTCAGTCAAAAAAATGATGTTGCAGCTGGCGACGATGAAATAAAAGTGCAACCAATTATGTACACCGCGAACATAATAGGTCCTATATTATCCCACATAATAAATATGATGCTTGAATGCGGTAATTTTCCTGATGAATTAAAAATCTCGAAAGTAACTCCTGTCTACAAGGGTGGCGGAGAGACCTTAATTAATAATTATAGGCCCATTTCAGTACTCCCGGTTTTCTCCAGAATTTTTGAGCGTGTAATCAACGACAGGATAACAGTTTTTTTTAAAATATCATATAATAACTCCTGCTCAGTATGGTTTCCAGAAGGAAAAGTCTGCAGAATCAGCGCTAATCGACATAAAAGATAAAATTGCGGAAAACATTGAAAACAGATTGGTCACACTGGGATTGTTTTTGGATTTAAAAAAGGCGTTCGACACTGTGCAACACGATATTTTACTTAAAAAAACTTAATATATATGGTATACGAGGAATAGCGCTAAAATTAATTAAAAGCTATCTAAATGAACGCTACCAATATGTATGCTTAAATAATGGGTCATCCAGCAAAATGAAAATAAAACATGGCGTTCCCCAAGGCTCTATTCTAGGGCCTCTGCTATTCCTTGTCTATATAAACGATATAACGGAAATACCTGGCTCCCCTCAGTTAATGATGTACGCAGACGACACAAATGTATTTTTTGCTGGTGAGACAAAACAGATCGTAGAAAAATTAGCCAATGAATATCTTTTAAAACTCTCAAAATGGTTAGAAACGAATCGCTTGGGTCTAAATACCAGTAAAACAAAATATGTTATTTTTAAGCCGATAAACAAACGCGATCACAGTACTATCAACAGAATATTTGAAGGTACGTTGCTGGAGCAAGCTACAGAGCAAAAATTTTTGGGGGTGTGGTTTACTGAGGACCTTTCTTGGTCAACTCATGTTAATATGCTCAAGGCTGAACTGTCCCGAGTTACTGGTAGCATATACAAAGTGCACAGTTTACTACCAACCTGGCTTAAACAAACATTATACTACTCTCTATTGTACTCAAAAATGAACTATGGCATCATGGTGTGGGGAAGTACGACAGAAACTAATTACAACAAACTAATTATCTTCCAGAAAAAAATCTTGCGTATGTATGAAAATTATAAAGGAGACAGAAGAAATTTAAGCACGCAACCACTTTTTAATAAATATAATATGCTAATAGCAGATCAAGTATTTTATTTCAAATTATTACAATTGATACACAGAAACAAGCTCCACACTACACCAACATACAATCTGAGCACATACAATATTCGAAACCCAATAAGGAAGATGCCGGCAATAAGAACTAACTATGGCCGACAAAGGCTAAATTTACAGATAAATAAAACTCTGAATAGAAAAGATATGTCCGTAGATTTCCACCAATCTTTTAATAGCTTTATATCTGCTTGTAGAAGAATGCTCGTGGCAAGTGAAATTGCTTTTTCGTCTTTGTTAGCGCCGTAAACTTCATGAGTGTTATAAATAAGTCTTTGATTTTTGTGCATAATTTCATTCCTTGTTTCTTGATGTTTAAGTGTGAGAGAAAAACCTTTTATTGATTTTTTAGTAATACCACTGTGTTGCGGCAAATCTTAATGTGATGTATTGTATACTTGTATTTTTTGCAGTCTACAACGAAAGCCTGTCTTTGTTCCTGGTCGTTTTCGATGATCACTGTCTTTTCTTTTTTTAATTTTATTTCTCAAGGTATATGAAACTCTAATTTTGTTTATATATTTTTAGAATGTTGCACAAATGCTTCGGTCTATTTACTACTAACAGATCGGTTTGGCAAATGGCGCATTTTGTTTCTCTGATGTATTTTCCCCTGTGTTTTTCTACTGCACTGCTGAACTGTACGGGGGGGCAGACGCCCTGTCAGGCACCAAGCCTTTATCTCTGCCCCCCACGCGGAACTTCCCGCGAAACAAATGATAATAAAAAAAAATTGTAAATTTGATTGCTAGTGTGCTTGCCGATTTGTTTGTTTTTGTTTTGTTTTAAATTTTATATTACTACACGTCATTATTGCCGTACCTTATGTCCTTGAAACTTTCCTCTACATTGCACGCATATTTTCGATGCGTAACTTCATATTTTACGTCAATTTATCCTTCTATTTTCTTCTTTTATAATAATTCCCTGCTAAGGACGATGTAGGTAACTGAATGAATAACTAAATAAATACATTTTTGAAAACATGCCAGGTTTAGGCTTCATTTTTGTTGTTTTGATTTTCATGTGGTAACTTTGGGTCAAAACTGCCAGACAAGTGTGATTTCCGCTTCATTACTGATAGTGCTGGTGCTTCGGTTCATACTCGGAATGTTTGGCTCAAATCTGACCATCCGTCAATTATGTGGTGAGCCAGATAAAACCCATTGCAATGAAGAAAAAAAAGTCATCTGGCACTAACACCTTGGAGTAAAATCGTATTAGGCCTATTATGCCCTTAGGATTATCAAGCTTATGCAAAGTTTTAGGTTTCTCTGACGTGCTACCTTTCTAGTGATTGTGATTGTGCATTTACCTCCATCATATCGGAATAAGATGTAATTATGTTTTCGTTTAACAGCACTTAATACAGCTTGTCGATGACAGTAGAGTAGATTGTTGGGCTAGTTGGTTTTCGATGACATACGTGTTTGTTGTCTTTAGTGTATACGCTAAACTGCTTCAAACATGTTATTTGACATCGAGCGTTATTGTCGGAAGGACAGCCCAAGCATGGACTGAAGATGGAAACTTATTATTGGACATAATGTCAACAAGTCCCTAAGGAATTCAGGAAGAGCTATTCAAATTCCTTCTGACTTTCCTTTAGACAATCGCATCTAAAGACCTTCATTATGCAAACAATAGGAATTACTGAAAGTACGAAGAATTCGCACACTCCTTGGTGACACCGGCGAAACAATCCCCCAGGCAAAACTAGAAAATTTGAAAAATTGTTAGCCCTTTCTTATGCGTGTACTAGCGGCACAACCGATCCTATGAATATTCTTTCTAATTTAAAATTTGCCAATGAGACGGAAAATGCATATAACTTCAAAGGCATTTGGTCGTAAAGGTATTGCCGTCAGCGAGACAAAACAATATTTTTACTACTTCAACCATGACGAAGGCTACATCCGTCGGAAACATGTCACGGGGAGTATCGTCCTCTCGTATACATAAAAACATGACATTATGAATGCACGTCTCAGTTCTAAACATCTGTAAGGTGATAAAATGACTCAAAAAGACAATGCCAGGTAAAACAAAAACTACAAATAGTTTTTTATGTGTCGAAAGAACATACTGTTTTCAATTGGGAATCTAGGTACATGGTCAGATTAAAATCAAAACAGCGGAAAGACACAGGGACAAGTGGAAGAGCTATGTTTGTTACCTCTTCCACTTGTCCTTCTGTCTTTGCGCTGTTCATATTTTATTTAAAGACCTCCAGTTTTTTTAATAATTGCAGAATTTAAACAAACACTATACAAGTGCAATTGCAGTTGTTAAAGGGTGCGTAGTACCATATTCTTTATGTGCGCTAACTTTAAAGACACTAGTTTTCGAAACCTAGACGAAACAGTCGTATGTTTTATGCATAATTTTCTCCGAAGGCGTGTTTGCATATATTCGTTGAAATTTCCGCCGCCAAAACTAAACTTATTTTATTTTACATTTGACAAAACTATACTTACCTAAAAAAACATAGGTTAGGCATAGCTAATAGTTTAGGCTTCCAAACCTGTTCAAACATTGCAGAGACAGCAATCCCAAAAACAAAAATGCCGACGGCCGCTGCTCGTTTATGAAATACTTGGATGCGATATAAAAGAGACGCCATAATAATGCGAGGCAAGAAAATAAATATAAGACCTTTTCTTAAATTGTGCTTATTTTGAACAAAACCTGAAAATGTTTCGATTTACGGAATTTACTTCTCAATATAAACAAGTAATACAACCAACAGCATCATATTCTTCAAAAGTCACTAAAATGTGTAGTATATGGCATATATTGGATGTGCTAATCTAAAACGTCTACTTGTCGGAGTACTTCACGCTCAGGTGAAAGAGCCTTTGAATAATGCACGTTAACATGTCGGCGTTTCGCGAGCAAGCCGAATGACTTCCTACCGCACGTTTCCGCACGGCCATGCACGTATGTCTAACAACGTCACACATTTTTGGCAATATTGCTTACAGCGAGGCATGTTTGGAATTGTTTTCGAAATACAAAACTACACTTCTCAACTCTCTTGTTAAATTACACATTAATTACCTTATCAAAGTATAGAGGACCTGTTACTTATAGTTTTGAAACAATCGTAAATAAAATCTATCATTGACGACAATCGTCAAAGCCTCGTTTTCCTTGACGGCTGATTTGGGATTTTATTTCTTTAAAACTAAATATGTCTTAACTTTTTTATATATAACTCGTTGTCTTCCGCAAGGCATGCTGCATAATAAGTAAAAACGCAAAGAAGCATTTAAAAAATATACGAATGTACTTTTTGCTTGAATCCAAATGAAACCACCCAATCATATTTCACATACTACGTTTGCAGAAAAATATGTATTTAAATATTAAAAGGAAAAGCTGCGTGATTAAAATCAGGCAGCTTTTCGCACGTAGAACGTCTCGGAAAAGAACGAATATTTAGTTTACCGTGGCTGTCAGCTACACAACTGAAGTAATTAACTAACCTTTGTTCTGCGTTTTTGTGGCTAAAAGATATATGCAGTATTGTGCCGACATCGTGAGACTTACCGTTGGCCTTGGTGTATTTTGTTCACTCTTCTAGTCACGCATCGGAGAGGATTTAACACGGCTCGAGCGCAATTTAAGAACATCTTGATTGTAAGCTCTACAAAGAAAGACGCTTCAAAAGGACGAGTGTTGTCCGGGTATATTATGCGAGAAAACAAGGTATGAGCTTTTCACGTAGTCCTCCAATATGTATCCTAGCCTGGAGAGAGAATGTAGGGCACTGAAATTCAGCGAATTTTGTTGAAGCTTAATGATTACACAGTCCTAACTCAAGCCTACCACCTGTGCACAAAATGGGAGACATGTGCATACCATCCGGGGCAAGCCTTTTTTTTTTTAGCTTTGAGAGGTTTGTACTTTAATTAATGAAAGGTACCGGTGGTCAGCAGGAAATTCATACATGGCTTTTACACTCCACCGAATGATATTGTTGCGTGGAGTCTTTATTTGTTTTTTTGTTTTCTAAGTGACGGGGCATCACTTTACTCCGTTTCAGGATATTTTGGCAAATTGTGGAGGCTGCAGCCTCCGCGACCTAATAAGAGCGTCGGAGCGAGGCACATGACACCGCGTCACGGGAGCGTTTGTGTCACTGCGCCGAGTGCGAGGCCCAGAGGTACCGACTGTCGTCTGGTGGCCCGAAAAAGTCGTGTGCTGAAAAACAAACCAACACCAGATGAACGCCCACCGCAACAACATTGCCGTTCACCAGAGAAACGCGCTGTTCGGGAGCAGTTCAAGAGACAACCATACGCTCAATTTACCGGCGAATCTGTGGCGGGTGCGACGTTTAGAGGAGAAGCGGTCGATTACAGGGCGGCGATGGTTTCAACCGTCGTTCAAAAGCCACGTTGTACTAGGAACATGTTGATCCGAATTAAGTATCGTTGAAATTAACATGTCTTCGTTTTTCTGCCGTGTCGTACAGTGAATTTTTGATAGAAATGCAATCGCGAAAATTCAACTGCCGTTAACGACAAAAAAGAAACAAAAAAAAAGAAGCCTAGCATTATTTTTGTAGCGGACGGTGCTGTTTCTGTGACGCTGACGGGGCCTCCGCGGCTTTGCACATGGAGTGTCGTCAGGTTCCTTGTCCCCATGCCCTTATTGGGCCGCGGGGGCAGCAGCTTCCACAGTTGGCCAAGCTATAGTGAAACGGAGTATAAAAAAACTCGCATTATTGCGTAGGAGCCCCGAGTCCGCAATCCACACGGGGTGACGCTTGCAATGTCTTTATGATAGGGCTGGGCGTCGACTTAAAATTTTAACCCGATTAATCGACACATTTCAATCGATGAATTAATCAATCAATCGGTCTTGTTTGTGTGCATAATATTAAAATATTTCAATTAATATTTTTAGCGTGCATTCGTACAATATTTCATAAATGGCGAAATGTACAATATTGGATTTAAATCAACTCTGATGTATCGTTGAAAACAATACATCAGAGTTTATTTATTCGAAAGACACCCACACTTACAAATAATTACTTTAGATGCAGAGGTAAAAAGGTTCGCTGATATTCTCCGGCATTAGTGAACTCCTCTGATTGTTTAGAATAGTACCTGCGCTAAACGGACACTCCCACGGCGTTCAAGTGACCGGGACACGTATACCCTTCTCGAAGTGTTTGGAGTTACAAATCTCGCCTCCCTAGTCTATAAACTACAGCCCATCGGAAGTTTATAAAAACGCGCCAGTAAGAATTTCAAAATTATCCTGTTCACTCAGTCAACACGCTTTTCCTACAGACGCAATCGGGACCGAGCTTGTCGGAGTACTTCACGCTCGGGTGAAAGAGGCTTCTAATAATGCACGTTAGCATATCGGCGTTTCGCGAGAAAGCCGAATGGCTTCCTACCGCACGTTTGCGCGCGGTCATGCACGTATGTCTGCTAGGAGACGTCACATCCTGGATGAGTGCGGTAAGAGTATTTCTGTTCCAAAGGCACTAAAAGTATGAAGTTCGCACAAAGTAGGCGAGGAGCTCTTGCCGCTTGTGAGCATGCTAGCAGAGTGGCGATCGATTCCAGTTGGGGGTCACGTGTGTGGTACATTCGAATTATACAAATTCTTGCCAAAGTTCTTGATAGTCCTGTATCTTTCAAGTTTGTACAGTCTTTCTGGCGAGAAAATCATACATATCTTCGGACCCGTTCAGGCTGGCACATTTTCATTGGTAGATATAAATTTGTAAAAGAAAATAACAAGAAAAAAGGTATACGATAAAAAGTTCCTGTTGTTTTGACAACACAGCGTAAACGCGAGCTCTATTATTTTATTTTATCTGCTTAATCTTCTTTTGGTCTTCTTAAAAGAGTCAATGAGTACGCAGATGCAATTCATTTTGTCTGAATGACCAGCTACTTCACGTTTTCTTCTAGAGAAGAATGACAATTTTTAATCCTAAAGACAGACCTATGGATGGCGGACAGTCAGAACAAGGTTCAGATTCGTCCCGCGGAGATTGTGGATGGCGCAATGCGCCGCCCAATGAAAAAAGGTTGTGTCGTACGTATATCCATTAAGGCATCCAACCCCACCGGACGGGTTCTCCACGTCCACCACTTGGCGTTGCCTTTCTGTCGAAAAGGTCATTTGGTGCTGGTTAAGAATAACCAACACTGTGGTTGCTAACAGCCGTAATAAAAACCATGCCAGAGGCACGTGGCAAGTCACGTTCAGGATCGTACTCACTGTTAGGCAACGTTACTAGAACCACTCAGTTGGGAAACTGGCTTAGAACCTGCTCTAAAAAAGTGGCGCCGATCCTTATTTCAGTACCGAGCTAATGGCGGCGCAACTCTGCCATTTCTCCCGCAGCGGCCACTTCGTGAACTGCACGGTTGCACTTACTGGTTCCGTCATGTCACAGAAGGGTCGGTGGCGCCATCTCGCATGGCCATCTTGCAGTAGCCATATAAAGTAACTTTCATACTTCAACTCGTCGCTAAAGGGTGGCGCTGTAATCGTATTTAGCTCGGTCTCAGTGGACTGCAGTGGCCCTGATTTCAAGGGCAAGTTTCCCAACAGAGTGTTTTAGTAACGTTGCTGTGAGGGTCCCATAAACAATCGCTGCAAATATACATCGCCTTGGAACTACATTTGTTTCCCACCACCCCAAAATACCGGGGAACATAAATTTTTCCTTCGTTACTTCATTGCGCATTCCCCGTGCCACATCACATCCCACTGAACATGGAAGAACGCGACCATCCCAATAAATAAACACGGCGCAGATCTGCAATTTAGGGTCTGTCGACCATTGTGCTCCTAATGGGGCTTGTATGTCGTTATAACGGTAAGAATAATTCACACGGTGTATTTTCCGTAGACGTTTTCTGTGGCATTCTTGAAAAACCATACGCACCCTTGCAGCCCATATCCCGCATTACCACTTGGAAGAACCGCATGATGCTTAACCATGGTTGCTAACATACTTTTTCAGTTACATTGAACGTAAAAGGCATTGTTTTCTTCCAAATGTCTGTTTTAGTGATCCTTTACTTCTGCACCTCGATTATTTCGGCCTTTTTGAAACTGGGGCCGTGCACCCGCTCAATAAACCTAATATGCCGGATGGACGTCCCTGTCTGAACACGTCCCTGCCGTCGTTCTAGATCAGCACACTCAACCCTTTTGGCTAAGAGGACCCTGCTGCACAAGTTCATCAAAAGCCTGGCCCCGCTTCTCCTGGTCCGCCAACTTATTGTGCCGCTAAGTTCAGTCTTGCTAGTAAGCCTGTTGCATTTGTAGGTCGGACACAGGGTAAGCCCGACCGAAGAATTAAAAAAAAGTGAACCATTTTACCCTCCACCGTTTCAGGACTTTTTTTAAATAAATATGTTGTTTTATTAATAGTTATAATTCAGGTTTAGCGCCGTAACTAAAATCCCGAAGAAATCAGCTGACAGCCAACATTTAGACGTCAATCAGCCTATCAACACCTACGTCATTAAAAAAATTAAAGAAAAACTTGTTTAACAGACAATGTGAAACAAGCGAATATGTTGTTACCTCTAGATGCCTCGGATTTAAACTTACCTTGCCAATTTCTTCCAAAAGAAAAACGAAAATGCGGTTTACGTGCAAAATCAAAGAAGGGTACCTGCCACGCCCCAGGAAAGGGCTGAGGAGCCATTTAGATTAAATGGGTATTTATGGACGTCCAACCGACATCTTCGTCACGCATAACCTCCTCGTTTCAGATTTGAACTTCTCTAACAATCCGTATAGTAGTGTCACGGCCACTCGATCCCCCCTGTTGGTGCGGCCTGCCGATGTTTTTCCGAAAACAAAAGAGCGCGCGTGAGAGGAGAACTTCTCCCATTTTCCGTGGGGGCGCTGCACATCGGTGAGCGGTCTTGTGAGCTGAAAGCTATACTCTGTTTCACCTTATGTTGTACCGCAGGAAAGGCTGTGCAAGCTCGTCTGCACCTTTGTCAAGAGGGCTCTACAGTCGGCAGAGATTCGTGGTTGTGGAAGGATTTGCAAGGTCCTCTCGAGCGCCGTGTTTCCACACCTTATGGACTGGCCGTTGTGTTGGTGTGTTAACTGCCGAGGCCCCTACCACAGCGAAGACCTCTGCGAGCTCTTTCTCAGAAAACTCCTCAGACCTTTTTTGGCAAGCTGGGCTGGTGACCTTGTAGGTTTCCCTGCCCACAGCCTGGAAGCCCCGGGTTCTCGTCCGTGCGGTCTACCCCGGAAGAACACGTAACAACAAGGAAGGATTTCTTACGTCTTCTTTATTCCTCGTCTCGACCCCGAATGCCCTGCGCCTCCCCCCCCCCCCTCCCCCCCAGCTGCGCCCTGCCGGCGCGGTCAGTGTGGCGGCAGCCACCACAACCTAAACAGCCCACTAGAGAATATATTGAATCTTTTGCGGAAGCCTCTTTCCCGAAAGGTACTTCGCTTGTGAACTATATGACTCCCTTGGTCTGTTTTTTGTGAACAATGAAGTTTATATTTGCTGAAGTTATGCACTCGAAACCCGATTTTATATTGTCCTTCACAGATGAATAAATGGCACAGCTCGCGCGTCCTCGAGCGTCGGTTAAAACCGGAAATCATACGGCCTAGC